TTTTTTTTCTCTTAAGAGTGAAACAAATTTCAAGCCACGCCCACAAAACAGGATCTTGATACCTCTAAGGGATTCTTTTCAAAATTTTCGACGGGAAACCGCCGTCCTTTTTATGTGGAATTTTCTCCCTCCCCCGGGGATGTTTGCCAACGCCTACCGTAGAACTGCAAGCCGAACACAGTGTAGCCTTTAGCCTTGACAATCTCCGCACATCTGCAAGCAAACGCTGGCATGTAATTATTCCAGTTCGTCCAATCGATCCTGTTGCCTTTGTACACTTTACTTTTTGGGTCGCGCTCATTCAGCACTTGTTCTTTGAGTGCACGAGCTGGACTGTCCTGGAAGCAGCCCACGGCTTTATATGGAACCGCACAGTTGCTGCATTGCCACGCCACGGCTGCTTGGAAGAGAAACAAAACAAAACGAAAAGATTTTTAAGTCCCCAAAAACGATAGCGACTGGTACATTTACCCACTATTCTTAGTGCGCGAAAACAAGTACAAGGAAAGCCATATTTATGTGATATTTGTCCCTGTGCTAACGACATTGTGTATGCTAGGTTTGAAAGTTGTACGTAGTTTTTGTACGTTTTAATGAGAGTTGTTAAATTATGGGCTATGTAAGGCTTGCATGATATTGTTGTTAGATATGCAGCCGCCATCTTTTTTCCTATACGGAGAGTTATTTCCATGCTTGCTTGCATTTTTCCTCGAGTAACTACTGTACTTTTAGATGACCATCGTTCCCAGCGAAAAGTCTCGTTCGTTTCGTAGCAATTTAGAAAATAAATTTTAGAAAATTCGAACCGCTGCCTTCTAGGAAATCTTTGAGTAAGAGACACTTCTACAAATAACTACTTTTATCACAGGTCTTCGTACAGGAAAAATGTGTTGTGTGATATTTATTTGGCTGGTAATGAAAAGGAGAGGGGTGAATAGGTTTTCGGATCGACGGATTTGGCCTTAAAAAGCGCACGGATTGTGGATTTTTGCGGTAAATAGAGCTTATTCGCGGATTTTGAAAACACAGTGGATCGTGGATCAGCTGTGAATTTTGGCGCGGATTCCGCATTATGCTTGTATTGATGTTCGAATCTTGGGTCCTAAACGGAATTTGGGTCATAGATCTTTCTTCAGCCTTGGTCGGTATGTTAATGAGTTCATCCAACTTATTTCTTAAGTTTTTTCAAACGAAGCTCATTTAAACTCAGGTGTGAGACTTTTATTGGAATTGTGCTGTGTTAAAGTCATCAAGCATCTTGC